GAGAGAGAGAGAGAGAGAGAGAGAGAGAGAGAGAGAGAGAGAGAGAGGTTCGCTACTGCGGGTCATAATGACAAAAAACAGCACCAGTGAACACGGATACATCACGCAGTAGTGAACCACGTCATACACAGACAAATAAGGATGAAGAAGTTGTGATACAGACAGAATTCAACATACATCATATGTGGAGAGAGAGAGAGAGAGAGAGAGAGAGAGAGAGAGAGAGAGAGAGAGAGAGAGAGAGAGAGAGAGAGAGAGAGAGACAGAGAGAGATCACGTGCCCTGACCACCCGTGCAGCCACGATTGGACATCTTCTGTAGAGAGGTTTTAAGCGGTCGTTGATGTGGAGTGCTTTCCTGCAATGCTGACATTCGTTCTTCCCCCCACGTCGTCCCACATTCGTTACAACCTGTAACATAATCTCTTTCATGTACGATATGAAATGAGACATACAGTCCGCAACCAGCCTCGCCATTTGTCGCAAATTCGCTTTTGCAACGAACTGTTCAAATGTGTCTGTCGTCATAGGTACTGCAACAGATTCGTCATCAGCACGTGGCGCTTTTCTAGCGTTGACGCATGGAAAATTGTGTCGGACGTTGTGACAATTCAGTGCGCTAACATCGGTACACATCAGCAGCGCATGTGCCGCAGACGCGCAGTCCCGACAGTGTTCGCGCTGCCAGTGGCGGTGTGCTTTGCTGTGTTATGTTCTTCATCTGCCTTCGTCCTTTCACCGTCTGCACTTTCCTTGACAACTCCGTTCTAACAAGTCACCGTCAATTCTCCTGACACCAACCTACCTCGTGTGTATTGCAGGGTATCCATCACGTTCGTGCAACTGTTGAACAAAGATCTCATATCCCGTGGAAGGTCATCGTTAGTAGTCGCGACACCCTCATCACAGAGACCGTAGGAGGAGTACCGGTCTATGGTTTTCTTACAGTGGCGAATACAGTCTTCTGCGAAGGTCAAGAGGTCGACGACGCTGCGTGCTGAACCAGCCAGCGAACCCGTGTTATATTCCTGACTATCATACGATACCCACCCCTCCTTAAGCACACACTTGTCAATGCTGGCACAACACGCAACATCCCATCATTGTGATTCTCTGTCAGTTTTGTTTGTGATGTCGGCAGCGTATCGATTCAACATCTCGGTGCGCCTGCGCCTTTCACCTTCCAACCATGTCTGGTACTCGTCAAACGTAGTTGTCTTCGTTTCAACTATTACCTTAAGTCTGACGGCCATATCCTCCCTCAGACGAGTGATGTCTAAACAATTTGGATCGGGTAGTAACAACCAGAATACGGAGAACATCCTGTGTTCTGCAATTTCTGTCATTTCGGCGAGCAGTGATTTAAGGCGGTCTATCTCATCTGACGTGTGTCTCAACAATTGTTTCTGCTTATGTACCTCGTCTATGAGCCTGTCTATATGTTCTTGCTGCTTCTCTACCATCTCCTCTCAGTTCCCTTCCATCAAAGTCGGTTTCTCTTCTTTGTCCCCGAACGAAAGAAATTGATCCGGCGTTGCATCACACTCTTCGCCTGACTTTCTCTTCTGCCCGGTTTTTGCCAAACTTGACATCTAGAAATAGATGTATATACATCGAAATACATAGATAGATAAATAGATAGATAGATAGGTAGATAGATGGAGATAACAACAGAGAGACAGAGAGCAAGCGCGCGCGCGCGCGCGCGCGCGCGAGAGAGAGAGAGAGAGAGAGAGAGAGAGAGAGAGAGAGAGAGAGAGACATACAGAGACAGAGAAAGAGAGAGACAGAGACAGAGAGAGACAGAGAGGCAGAGACACGACCTCACTACTTCCATCGATTTTTTTGTCAGCGGGCGCCTACCAAAGTTTATCTATATGTACGTAGCAAGACACATTCTTGTATATTTTTGTACATCTGTGTTTTCTCGTTGATCAGTCCATACAACACTGGAATACAATTCTTAACAAATATCTGTCGTCCATTGTTTCCCAATACATTCGATTGAAGGAGGGAGTGAGAGAGATAGACAGACAAAAAAAAAAGAATGTAGGTACACAAAGAGAGAGAGAGAGAGAGAGAGAGAGAGAGAGAGAGAGAGAGAGAGAGACTACATCCCAATGACAACTACATTCCATGTTGGTGGTAGAGCAGTGTGCGCACACATCCATAGACCTGAAAGAAGAAGAAGAAGAAGAAGAAGAAGAAAGGGGGAGGGGAGCCCTGTAACTCGTATGGCTCTCTCTCCGTACCACGTGGCAGA